CCAGGCAGTGAAAATCGGACGCCTAGGAGAAGCTCCTACGCCAGGCAACCTTGCCAGACCGCAAATCAAACAGGCCCTTACAGCATGAGAACACAAGGGAAAAAATATGTTTCAGGCTTGCTAGCGCCCAGACGTGCATGCCCCACAATCCGTTTCCCACGCCGTTTTGCGCACCACGCGGGGCCAGCACTGCCCTGAACGTCACTAGCATCGAGAAGAGGGGAGAGGGCGACAGATGCCCAGCCGACGCCGGGAGGAGGAGGAGACACCGAGGCGATGCAGCAGGAGGCGAGGAGGAGAGATGCAACACCCGATCTACTTTTGAAATATCCAAATGTAACACTTGCAACATACGTCTGAAGGCAGACGAAACACTTGAAACATGCTTCTGAAACACTTGAAAACTATTTCAAACATATGCAACATCTACATAAACACACATGCAACATGTGTGAAACATATGCAATATCAAGATAAACATACTTGCAACGTACCTCTGGAAAACACAGATGAAACATTAGAAATAGACATTTGCAACATACCTGTACAACCATTGCAACTCTAGATCTATTTTTGCAACATCCATTTGAAACACTTGTAACATACCGCTGAAACATCTTAAACACTTGAAACATACGCTTGCAACATGCACTTTCAAGTAAAACACGGCAGCAATGTGGGCAGAAACCAACAATGGCGGGATCATTGTCTTGGTCATGCCGAGAAGGAGGATGGCGTGACGAGCGGCTATCGGCCCCGGTGGCGAGCTGCGCTGCCCACAGTGATGATAGGGCGACGCGGTGCCCCAAGCGAGTGGTGCTGCCGCGGTGGAGGCGACAACAACAGTTGGTGGAGTGCGGCATCGCCACGGCGAGGAGGCGGCGGGGTCATGGCGATCGTGGGGAGCATGCTGCGTGGTGGTGCGAACGCAGCGACATTGGAGAGGAAGGCCCGGGGAGATACGGTCGTCAGAGGCGTGGCGAGCGCTTGATCAGCGGTTGTGTGAGTTGTTTTTATAATCTACGGTGACCGGAGGGTAGGGAGCGGATTGGAATGGATAGGCTCCTGGACGTCGGGTGCAGCAACAAGGGCGTCCGCGCGCGGACGAACTCTAATTGCTAGCATTATCGAAAATGTTTGGCAAGTAAAGTGGTGGAGTTGTTGCCTTGGGTGTCTTCGATCAGAACGAGTGGCAAAACAATAATGGGGCTCTTGCATACACACCCCGATATTGTGATTTTACCTATGTTTTTTTCAACTTTGTAAATTTGCCTCTGGTTATTCAAAACGAAGCACCACTTTGCCTCTATTCCGTCATCCTCCCCTAAAGTTGTTAACTTTTGTACCAAAGGATAAATATGTCCTTGTGATTTTGTCCCTGGTTTTTAGGGCTATTTGTGATTTTACCCCTAACTTGGAATAAGACACGTATACTGTATTTTGAAAAATTATTTGCTTATTACGATAGAATATAATACACTTTTGTTTCTCTTTCTTTTCTCCTTTTCTTTTTTAATTTATTTTTTTCTTTCTCACTTATTTTTTTCTTTCTCCTCAATCCAACCCGGCTGGGCAGCTTCTCCACGGGCTCCTCTGAAAAATATCTCCACAGGAGCGGGAGCCTTATCCACTGCACGCAGCTTCTCGCTGCAATGGCCTGGGCAAGTCCGTCCCGCCTGCACGCCGGGCCAAGCGGCGCCGCCGCACTGCACGCATCGCCTCAACCAACGCGCGATGGAGTCCGTCCGCGTGCCTCCGTGCCCGCGCGTCCGGCTGCGGCAAGCCGAGCGCCGAGGAGACAAAGCACAGCAGAGCCCAAGAACAAGAAAGTGTATTTCATTCCCACATCCCAATCGATCGAATACAGATGAGAAGCGGGAAGCTACTCCGCAATCTCCTTCCGTGCCTGCCCAAATTTACCGATACCCCCGCCCAAATCCGCCAGAGATCACACCTTTCCACCAAATCCGGCCAGGATGCGGCGCAATCGGCGGCCACGGACCCAGCTCGCGCCCGCCCAGCCGCTCCCCCGACGCGGCCGCCGCACCCACCGCAGCGCCTGGCTTGCCGCGCCCGCCCAACAGCGCGCCAGCGCACCCGCCGGCCATGCCGCGACGCCTGCCCAGCGGCACCCGCCGCGCCGCGAGCTCGCACGGCCGTAGCGCCCGCCCAGCCACGCCTCCGTCGCGGCCGCTGCTACCACCGCCGCGCCGCGAGCCCGCCGGCCATGCCTGCCCTGCGCCCTGCCCAACAGGCATCGGTGGACACGGGGCGGATGGGATAACTGTGATAAGGGCATTTCAGTGTATTTTATTTTTTTTAAATCGTTTATTCAGTTTCTAAATAACGGATATCTAAACCAGAGGTAAACTGTTCATTCGTTTCAAAATAACGGAGTAAAATTATAAAGTTAAAAAAAATAAGGATAAAATCACAATTGAACTTCTGGATAGAACAAAAACACCATTTTCCCAACAATAATAAACTTCCTTTTTGATTTCTCTAACTTTTAGCGTGAGCGTTTGAGCTGGAAATCTTGCAAGAATTAGCTGGGTATGGATGCAAAGGCCGAATATTTTCATTTTGTAAAAAAACTATTATGTATATAACTTATGGATACGCAAGCACAATCTTTATATTGAATATAAACGTTCATAAGGATATGGCCACGTCCCGTCTTGTTGCGACTTATGCCCTGTTTGATCGAAGCTGCTAAATTTTAGCTAGCTAAATCAGCTGTTAAACTTTAGTCATCTATATTTGGTTTGGAGGACTAAAAAAGATCTTTTAGTATATTTTAGTCAGAATGTTTGGCTCTAAAGTGACTAAAAGATGAGACAGTCTGAACTTTAGTCTCATTTAGCAACCCTTTGGTGACTACTTGGTTAAGGGTCTGTTCGGCTGGTATTAAAGCCGGTTAATAAATCGACTGAAATTAATTTATTATGAGAAAAAAATATTATAAATTCTAGTCGATAAACCGGCTCACCGAACCTGTCCCTTTAGTACTATTTTGCCCTATCAGCGTCAGCCGTCAGTACAGTACAGGTGGACCACCCCCCACCACAGCAGCCACGCGTGGTGCAGCGCAGGTCGTCGTCAATGAAGGGAAGAGCTAGCGGGTAGCGCCCGATCGATCGCGTGCAGTTGCAGACTTGCAGCGGGAAGCCAAGCCACGATGAGCACCAGGCGCCGGCCAGCCATGGCGCATGGACGCAACGTCAAACTCGAATTTACGCCGGGCAGTCAGTCGCCCATGCCCTCCACTTCCATGGACCTGGACCCTGCCGGTGACCGGCCTCGCTGCGCGCTCCAGTGCCCGCAGTACTAGTAGCAGTAGCTTCTACTGCTGTGCCGCACTGCGTGCGAACGTAGGCCGAGGACGAGCTAGCTCTCCATCGATCGGAAGGCATTCCCTGTTGGCCCGCCTGTTGCTGCATGCCTTGGATACCTACGGCTTGTTTAGTTTGCAAAATTTTTAGCCAAATAAACATTTTCATTGTTATTTAGTAATTAGTGTTCAATCATAATTTAATTAGATTTAAAAAATTCATCTCGTGAATTTTATTTAAACTGTATAATTAATTTTATTTTTATTTATATTTAATGCTTAATATATAGGTCCAAAGATTTAATATTTTGGAAGTGAACTAAACGATACCCTACTGCTCCTTGCTCGCTCATCCCTTCAAGTCAAGGCCTCACATGTCACATCCATCAGTCATCACACACACCGCGGCGCGCCCTGTTCAATGAGACTAGGGTCTTATTTAGATTGTCTTAAAATTTCAAGTTTTTTCACTCTCTCTCATATTAATTTTTGAATGCATGTATGAAATATTAAATGTAGGTAAAAAAAATAACTAATTATACAGTTTAGTTGTAAATCACGAGACAAATCTTTTAAGCCTAGTTAATACATAATTGGATAAAGTTTGTCAAATACAAACGAAACGTACTACACTGTTCAGATTGCAAAAATTTGCAATCTAAACCAGGCTAGCCACAGCGTTGCTTTTTACCGATGGCCAAACACTCTCTTTGAGCACCGATGCCCACGTTATAGCCGGTGCTGAGATGAAAAAAATATAGACACCGATGCATGTTTGTTCACCGGTGCTTCAAACGTTAAAAAATAGTATTCCTCGTTCGCCTCTGTCTCCGCGGCCGCTACGACGAGGTCCACAAACACAGTGAAGCACCGGTACCAATTAGAGAGCTGAAGCATTGGTGCTTTGTATCAGACTGAAATTTTTTTCGGCACCGCTCACACTGTGGACAGTGGACAGTCTTCCTTCTCTAGTTCGCTCGCCTTACGGCTATAAAACGTCGGTCCATCTTGGTTCACTGCTACCTACCACACGGCAGCTGGATGGAGCGACGGGCGAGTCATTGGGGGCGATTTGGGTCACCTCCTGCCTCTCACCTCTCACCGCTCTCGTCCTCTCCCGTCTTCTTCCCCATCGTGTCGAGCTCGCACGTCCGGCCATGGCGGCCCTCGCACAGCCGTGCGCCGCCCCCAGCCGTGGCTGCCCGCCCCCGGCCGCGTCGAGCAGGCAAGCCGCGCGTCCGTGGCCCGGCCAGGGCCGACGAGCCACCGAAGCCCCGACCGCGTCGAGCTCGCACGTCCGGCCATGTTGGACCTCGCACGGCCCTGCCCCGCCCCAGCCGCCCAGCCCATGCCCGCGACTGCCCGCCCCCGCCCCTGGCCGGGTCGAGTAGGCAAGCCATGCGTCCGTGTCCCCACCCCCGAGCTCCTCGCGCGAAAGGCCGACGCTCGTGCGTGCTCCTCCGTCGACGAGCGCGCGTGCAGGGAGACACCGCCGCGTGATCCTCCTCGCGGGAGCCGCCGCCACGCGGTCCTCCTCCGCTGGGCTTCCCCATGGCCGGCCGCCGGGTCCGGGATCACGTCGCGGCTCCACCGACACGCGTTCGGCGCCGCGCGCCAGCTCCCCGACCGCGTTCATGAACTGCGCGGAGCCCGGGCCGTCGGCGACGGCATGGCTGAAGCGGAAGCCGACGACGAATCCGCCGCTGGCGAAGGCGGTGACCTGGACGAGCAGGACGTGCCGCCTAAACCCACGACGAATCCCATCGCCTCGTCTGACCGTGCCGCCGCCGCGGCGCTGAGCTCGCGCGTGCGTGGTGCAGCAGCCGCCGCACCGAGCCGGCCGCGCGCGGGCATGGTGCCGCGGCCGCCGCCGCCGCGCCCAGCCGGCCGCGCGAGAAGGCAGTGAGGAGGGAGGTCGAGGCGGTGACGGCGAGCGGCTTGGCCATGGCGGCAGCTTCCTCATCCGCTCGTCAAGGTGACGGCGAGCTGTTGTGCCATGGCAGCCCGCCAAGGTGTTCGAGGAGAGGAGCTGGGTCGGCGTCAACACCGGCAGCTTCCTCATCCGCTCGTGCCACTCCCGCCGCTCGGACTCGGACCATGGGGACGAGCTCGTAGTCGACGCCGGCCTCCTCCAGGCACAACACAACAGCACCCGCGTCGTCCAGGGCCAATGACATGCATGTGTTCGATGAAATGCCAATGACAATGTTTGAGGGGTAACCTTACCATGTTTCAAGCCTTGGGTCACCATACAGGCAACCAAACACGTTCTCAACTAAGCTCGCCTCTGCAGGTACAGGCAACCAAACACGGATACTTGTACCATGTCGACCGAGCTCTCGCTGGCCATAGCAAGGCTAGCCGGCCAGGCCTGCCAGATAGAGGACAGCAAACACGCCCTAGGCTTTCCCACTCTCTGACCATAGCTCTCTCTCTCGCTCGCTTGTGATCCCCAGTCTCTCCGATCCTTCTCTCATTCTGTCGTCTGCCCCTGTCACCCACCCCCGTGCGGACCCAAGCAAGCAAATGGAGGTAAGTGAACAAGTCAAACAAGCTGTATGTGTGAAAGCAATCTGTCAGGACTACTTGGCGGGCTCGCCTGAAGACTAAAGCTCTGATGGCCGGTGCGTCGTCTGATGGAAATCCGACAATAGACGTGAAGCGCGGCAAGCAGTCAGTAGTGGGGTGAGTTGCCGTGGCGGCGAAGGCAGCTGGCGCTGGCTGTGTTGGCGGTTGATTCTTGCGTCATTGTGTGGGCCCATGGTGGCAGGTGTGCGCCGTATATAAGGCGTTGTAACTAAGGCCCCGTTTAGATTCCAACAAATTTTGCGCAGTATCCGTCACATCGAATCTTGCGGCACATGTATGGAGTACTAAATGTAGACGGAAAAAAACTAATTGCACAGTTGGATGAGAAATTACGAGATGAAACTTTTAAACCTAATTAGTCCATAATTAGACACTAATTATTAAATACAAACGAAAGTGCTACAGTAGCCAGAATACAAAAAAAAATTTGCTCTAAACGGGGCCTAACTGAATCGGCATCGATTGAATAGAAACTGAATCCCGAACCCTCTGTTCTGTTCCCCAATCCAATTGCTGTTCTTGCTTCTATCCCAAACTCCAATTCCTTCCCAAATTCCCTTCAGTTATCCGACAATTCCTTGGTGGATCGTCACACAATCGTTGTTCGACCATGAAAAGTTGATTGATTGTATTGCTGCTCTAGTTACCTCTATGTAATGATTTGATTGACGAGCGAGGCTGATATTATGCATGATGCATCATTCCTTCGCAATCTTCCTTACTATGTATATGAACGGGATCGCCGGCGTGCGTGCGTGTGCTGCAGAAGGTGAGGAGGCGGCGCGTGCCGGCATTCGGAGAGTGGAACTACAACTACTACGGCAGCGCCGAGCTGGTAGCCACGCCCACGGCGGCGGCGGTCCCCTTCGAGAGGTACGCGGCGGCGGTGCCGGAGCTGGAGGCCCGCAGCGACGTGTGGTTCAAGTACTCGCCGCCCCCTCGGAAGCCACCGCCGGTCAGCAGGAAGGTCCGGAGGCCGGCGGAGAAATCCTACGGCGGCAGCAAGCGCCCCCGTGCTGCTACGCCTGCGAGGGCGTCCGACGGCGTGGTCCCGTCGTCTGTGCCGCGCACGCCGGCTAAGAGCACCGGCGCGGCCAGGGCGGCGCGCGTGGTGCAGCGCGTCAACGCCGACCTGTACCAGGTGCCCCCGCCGGAGTTCGTCCACGATGACGACCTGAGGCCAAGGGTATGTAGGTCGCAAATATTGTGACACTCGTTTTAATATGTAATGTAACTATGATTTGTCGATTGATGCCATCACATCTCGCATGCATGCAGCGGCAGCAGCGGCAGCGTAAGAAGGCGTCCAGGAGCCTCTGGATGGGTTGCTTCGGGTTCAGCTGCAGGCCGGCTGAATAATTATTTTCTGTATTTGTTTTTATTCTACGTATGTATCTACTAGTTGAATTCTACTCCTTTCAGATTGTGCAATATTTTTTGTTTTTTTTTTATTTCTAGACTAGTATTGTACAGTGTGGAACTGTGGATCGAAAGAAAATCTATGCATGGTGCCGTATTCCCAATCATCTTGATACGCATCCCAAAACAATAAGTCGGCTGATTCCGGTTGTTTCAATAATATTTTGTGGATAAGCCGGCTGAAAAGAGCAGACGAACAGGGTTGCGTGCCTCCGTGCTTCAGGTTCAGAGCCGGATGCGGCTACATGAAAATTAGATCGATCCCGCCTTCCTCGTCTGCGTCCTCCGCATCATACTTGAGTCATCGGCAGTGCAGTGTCCATGCCGTCGCTGGCCTCCCCTGGCAAGCAGCAGCGACAGATCGATGGATCATGGACGTGATCAGGTTGGGCATCAGATTCAGATATGTATCGATATCACCGTCGCCGTAACAGGCGGCGGAGTCGATAGGTCAGGCTTGCCGTTGGAGGCTGTCCGTTGGAGTCCACAGTCTAGTTGAGCAGCAACGACGGGCGATGGAGATTACGTTGGATGGCTTCAGGGAATTCCTGGCTTCAGTGCTTATTGCGGACTCTAATTGGCTCAATGAGAGGGCTCTAACTGACTCGGAAGCATGTAAGAGCAGATTGCAGATGTGCCTGCGGCTGGTGGGGAAGCATGTAAGAGCAGATTGCAGATAGACTCAACATTAGGGCACTTACAAGTTACTCATTCGGTTCACAAAAGAACGTAGCTATAAAATTTATGCAAGTTAAATTAATTTAAATTTGACCAGATTTACAATGAATAGTATTAATATTCATGTCTTTAATTAGGTTTACTATGAAAAAATATTTTTTATGATTAATTTAATAGAACTTATTTTGTATCATATATGTTAGTACTTTTTATATAACTTTGACTAAATTTCATGTCGCTTCATACCTTGAAAGTGAGAATTACGTCCTTCTGTTGACAATGGAGTGCAACTCACCAAATCATTCTAGAATATTTATTGATGCTAAATCCGATCACACACTAGCAAGGGCTTGATTGCCCGAGCATCACACTGCCAAGATACGCAATGGAACTAGGCCCACTAGCAGGTCAGAAAGATACCCTAGGGTCAACGATGGGGGTATCATGCAAATTGAGTTGTCTTTACTGCTCTACACAAAAAGCTCCCGTTGCTGAAAATTGATTCTGCAGTAGGATAGTGGCAAATCTTTCAGAGAGAAGTGTTGGACAGTAAGGGGATTTAAAAAGCTTGAGGTACAGGATAAAAAGTATGATAGATTGGTTTTTTGACTATTCGAAAAGCTTGAGAAATATACAAAGCGACAGCAGCAAGCAGTGCGCGAGCTAGTCAACCAAGTTCGTCTGGAGCAACACCGCACCCCCACTCCCGAGGGTTTAGTTCTGATGTGGTTGCTAGTTCGGGGGAGGATCTAGTGCCGTGTTAACCTCTACCGGAAGAAGGTTGTGTCTAGTACTACATGTCTCTTTTTTATTGCTGCCATGCGAAAACATTTGGAACATTGTCCCTATAGCTACCGGGTTAATCCCTTCTATTCTAGATCCGCTGCTACCCACATGCTTGGAAGTTGACTAACGGGCATCGAGAGGGTGCAAAGAAATTTGATTTTGTGGGGTTTAATGCTACTATTTAGGTAATTTGGTGCACTCGTAATGACATTATTTTGAGAAAATACCGAATACTCCATTTGTTCCAAATTATAAGATATTTTGGTATTTCTAGATATATTCATTCTACTACGTTTCTAAACATAGTGTATATTTAAGTGCATAACAAAAACTATATTTCTGCGAACTGATCATAGATCAGTGGAACCTGTCCACCAGGGTTAAAGTCTTCGACTTGGCGCGAGTAATCGTATTTATCTCATACAATTTCTATAAAACTCATGCGTTTCAAGGAGGCCCTGCCTTTTTTTTAAGCCTGGAGAAGTGAAAATGGACGTAACAGGCCAGGGCCAGCAGCCCAGCTTTGCCGAGACGGGCTTTGCTGATTTTCCAGGCCGCGCGGTCAAACCGACGGGAGATCGAGGGCTCCAGGTCCTGCCACCCTTACGCCTTGGCAGGTCTTGGCGGCTGACGCGGTAACACCTTGGCTCCCTCGTCCATTCATCTACTGCAATTTCGGAGCTATGGACTGCCGGAGTCTCGCCGGCCTGCCCTCTCGGTTCTTCAATCCTCTAGGCGCCCAAGCTGCAAGCACGCGACTAATTGTGATCGATAGATCGAGGATTCGCCGTTGCTTGCTACCTGCTGCTGGCTGCGCGTGCACGACTAACGCACAATGCCTAATGATCTGAACCAACAAGGTGAGATTCAAGCTTTGCTCTTTTCTCTTCTTTTTTCATGTAGAAAAATTATGTCTACTTTCATTGCTAACATCATCGGCTCATCCCTCATGCAGCAAGATTGGAGCGCATCAGAGATGATCAAGATCGATCAATAATTTAATACAATCTAGTCACATTCATTAAACGGGATATTTTCTTTGAAGTAGACGAAAGATAATATAATTGAGATATTGATGTCACTTAGAAAGCGTCAGCTAAAATAGTCACATAAGTAGTATTGTAAGTCTCTTACTCTCTTTTATGCTTATATTTAAAACTATTAGCATGGTGTTTGAACTATGCATATTGTAATTTGTGATTGTTTTCAACTTAATAGTCACATATGGTTTTATCGAATTGTACAAGATTTTTTTGGTCGGCATATCCTTAGAAAAGTCAAAACGCCTTAAAATTTGAAATAGATGGAGTACTTCTTTTATGCAGGTTATATTCAAGTGGCGTCATACATCATTTTTGAAAAAAAAAAGATACTTCTTTTACACAGGCTATATTCAGGGGTTCATACTGTCTACGGTTTTAGACGCTGCTACAGCATGAGAACACAAGGGAATAAAATATGTTTGGCAAGTAAAGTGCTGGAGTTGTCGCCTTGGACGTCTTCTCTCAGAAACAAGCGTTTGAGATAGAAATCTTTTAAGAATTAGCTGGATACGGATGCAAAGGCTGAATATTTCCATTTTATATATATAAAAAGTAGCTGGATACGGATGCAAAGGCTGAATATTTCTATTTTATAAAAAAGGCTATTATATGTATAAATTATGGATACGCAGCCCAATCTTTATATTGAATAAACATTCATTCATAAGGATATATGCATAATGTATCACGTTTGGTTATTTGGCCACGTCTAGCAAGAGTTGAGCACTATATCATGTCAGGCGCACACAGGGAAGATGTAGCGGCGGAGACTCCCACAGAACAGAAACCATTGCGGGAAGTAGAAAGCCACCACGAACCCCACGACGAATCCCACCGCGCCGCCGACGCTGGATGCGTCGTTGACCCTACGCAGCCTGAGATGTATCCGCACATGGAACCGCCTCTTGCACTTGCCCAGCGGCGCCCCGCAGAGCCCGTCGTTGCCGGCGAAGTTTTCGGGTGAGAACTTCTGGAGAGAGCCCGGGATGGGACCTGACAACGAGTTATCCGCAACATTCAGCAAAGTTAACCGTGCAAGACGATCGCCCATAGTCTCCGGGAGCCGTCCGGTGAACCTGTTGTGCTCAAGGCTCAGCTGCACCAGGTATGACAGGTTTCCGACGCCGCTTGGGATTTCGCCTGAGATGCTTCCGTGCGTTAGAGAACAATACAATCCCATGTGCTTATCATTTGCATTTTTATATAGGAACAAAAAGTTTGGAAACAGAGGTTAGTTAATTTGTACCACCTGAGAAGCTGTTGTGCGAGAGGTTGAGAGATGTGATGAACGGCAACTGCCTGGCGATGTCTCCGGGGAGGGGTCCTGAGAGGCTGTTGTTTGACAGGTCCAGTAACGTCATGCTACTGCAGTTTTGAACGCCTTGAGGGAACGAACCTTCAAGCCCCATGTTGCCGAGGTTCAAGAACAGGACTCTGCTTTCAGACGGATGCCAGCATTCAACGCCGTTGAACTGGCATATGTATCCTACGGTGCCGCTGCTGTTGAACTCCCATGACGAGAGTGCACCGTTGGAATCGAACAGTGATTGTTTCAGGGTCTGCAAGCACAGGACGTCACTGGCGGTACCAGAACACGAGGATAAGCCGCTTAGGAGCAGTATCCAGATGATGATGAGGTTCATCATCATGCAACCGCGCGTAGGCAAAGGCCACAGCTTAGAACGAGCCTGCAATGGTGTATTCAGAGTGTTGGAGTTACAAGCTTGCAGCTAGTGATCTCACAGCCGGCTAGTGGTATCGTTCCCGTCCATTATATAGTGTGTTTAGCACAATAGCACTTTAGTTTTATCAACTCTTTTTTGAGTAAATCTTAGAAAACGCGCGTGTTGTATTGTATGTATCTCGTGTAGGGTGGGACCAAGAAGTAGGATTTTAAACATGAATATAAAACCGTTATACAAACAAATAACAAAAGCAACTGATTCTGAAATTTGTTCTATTCAGTAATATTTGTGACCTTCTCCTTTTATATTTATATTATACCTTTTATTTTTTATTTTTTTTTGCAGGAACTATTATACTGCTGCTAAGCGATATTGTTTTCATGGATAAGGCCTTGTTTAGATTCCAAGTTTTTTCACTCTCTCTCCATTACATCAAATCTTTGGACACATGCATGGAGTATTAAATGTAGATAAAAAAAATAATTAATTACACAGTTTGATTGTAAATTACGATACGAATCTTTTGAGCCTAGTTAGATCATAATTGGACAATAATTATCAAATACAAACAAAAATATTACAGTGCCAAATACTGATTCTAACAGCTATCTAAACAAGGCCTAAGTAAACCATGCCACCTATTTTCTCTGTCTAGTCTATTGCCGGTCTGCTTCTACCAAACTTCGTAGCGTTTGCAAGGTGAGAATGGGTCAGAGAAATCAGTATCATCATTTATTGCTTTGGAGAAAGAAGTTGACAAGCACGGAAATTGATGGAAAGCTAAATTAATAATTTCTCCTACTTGTAGCGCAAGACTCAGGCCTTTTGTTTGGATCATCGGATGTTTTACATATATATATATATATATATATATATATATATATATATATATATATAGTATTAAATATAGACTAATTACAAAACTAAATACACAGATTGAGATTAATTTGCGAGATAATTTTTTTAAGGCTAATTAGTCTATGATTTGACAATGAGGTGCTACAGTAAACATATGCTAAAGACGAATTAATTATACTTAATAAATTCGTCTCACGGCTGACGGATTCTGTAATTTATTTTTTTATTAGTATCCGAACACCCCATATGACACTCCATGTGACATCCGATGAGGGCCAGATTCCTCCCAGCTAAAATTCACTCTTTACGCTCTCACAAAATCACTGTTCAGCTGAAATTCACTGTTCATGGCTGAAATTCATTGTTTACGCTCTCACAAATTCCTCCCAGCGAACAGAGCCATAGACTAAAAAATAACTAATTGCACAGATTGCGTCTAATTTGCGAGACGAATCTTTTAAGCCTAATTAGCCCACAGTTTGACGTTGTGGTGCTACAGTAAAGCTACAGTACCTAGAGGAGGCAGTGCGCCGTAGCGTGGACCGGCACCAGGAGGCGAGGTCGGAGGACGGGCCTCGGTGAGGGTGGGGTAGAGGAGGCGGCAGCCCGGGAGGAGGCGGTGGGGTTCTGGGCGGTTCCTGTGCCGTTGGCCTAGGATAAAAATGATCGTGGACGGGGCGGCCAAGTTTTTTGTTTCGGTGATGATGATTGGTTTCGATGGAGCGTTGAACGGCGGACACCGCGTTGAAGTGCGAGCAGGATGCGGGGGTGAGAATGCGGGTGAGAAGCCTGGCATCCCACATCGAATTGTGGCCATCGGATTTGGTTAAGGTGTTTGATTAACCCTTGATTTTAATGGTGCTGAATTCGTGTGTGTATTTTCCTGGGTGCGCAATGGTTGGAGACTCTCGGCGGGAGATGTTTCATGGGGGACCTACTATAATTTCAACCGGTGCATTATAGTAGAGATCAGGGTGCCAACATTCCACGCCCGTAAAATGGCATATGAAGCCATTGGTGCTGTCGTCAAAAATCCATGAGGATTTCAGTACGCCGTTGGGATCATTCACTGACTGTTGTAGGGTCTTTAGGCATTGGACATCAAGTTCAAAAACAAAACATGACGACGAACCGCTCATCAACAGCAGCAACCAAAGGATGAACTTGGTCTTATCAGCCATCTTAGACATGGATTCTTGGCCAAAAATTGCAGCTTCTCAATTCCCACCTAAGCTGCTCGAACAAGTGTAAGAAACTTAGGGCCTGTTTAGTTCCACCCAAAACCTAAAAAAATTTGCGCAATATCCATCACATCGAATCTTGCGGCACATGCATGGAGTACTAAATGTAGACGAAAAAAAAACTAATTACACAGTTGGGTGAGAAATCGCAAGACGAAACTTTCGAACATAATTAGTCCATAATTAGACACTAATTGTCAAATACAAACAAAAGTGCTACAGTACCCAAAACCAAATTTTTTTGCCAACTAAACAGGCCCTTAGAATACTCAAATATACACCACTTGCAAAGAAAAACAAAGAAGCAGCAGACGGACTACGGAGGCATAGGACTCCTACTTGTTTTGCTTTTCTAGGTGATGCTACTGACTGAATGGGTGTGCAACTGCTAGCTGTTTCTTGCTAGTGTATTGGACAAGATCAGGTGTAACAAGAAACTCACCAGTTCCTCCTCGCGAAGCAGAACTGCAGAAGCCACCACTCACAACAAATCATAGATGAGTGGACAAGATGAGGTGTAACAAAGGAACTCACCGGTTCCTTCCTCCACGAGAAGCTGAAGCTTTAAACGCCGGAGGGGAACAATCAGTGTTAGACTTGAGACTTTGCAGCAGGAAGACCGAAGACGGACCCAAGCGGTCTGAGACTGACACCACGACAAAAGTAGGCGGTTCATGTTTGCGTGTAAGGTAGCTTGGTTTAGATCCCACTCAAAATCCAAAATTTTTCAAGATTTCCCGTCACATCAAATCTTGCGGCACATGCATGGAGCATTAAATGTAGGTAAAAAGAATAACTAATTACACAGTTTGTCCGTAATTGACGAGACGAATCTTTTAAGCCTAAATAGTCCATAATTAGACAATTTTTGCCAAATATAAATGAAGGTGCTACAGTAGTCAAAAGCCAAAAAATTTCGCATCTAACGGGGCCTAAGTTCTACTATGCTGATGCGTCACATCACAAATTTATGAGGACAGTGACTAAGTTGTGAAGATGGCGGGTAATTTCTTTTAAGGAAAAGTCCCCGACTTATTAGCAGTGGTCTACTCTAACTTCTCACCTCTAAAATCATATATTATATCCCTTAAAATATTGAAAACCATCAAGATAACTCTATAAGCCATGTTTGAAAGCAGTTTTGCAGACGTGGCATATTTTACACAACCCCTAACATAACAAGGGTTGGTTATATATCCCCTCAGCTATAAAATCTGATATTGTACGCGTCCAACAATGGTCGAATAACCCACCGGATGGTTTGGATCGTTTGGATACCGTATCCCACTACAATGGCCTAAACACCTATGCTTGCACACAAGTATATCGGCTGCCTTCCTATCCCTGCTCTTTTTAGGCTTGCTCCACCCGCCCGATGAGCACCACACCGTCTCATGCTCCACCTCATGACACTCCTCAAGGGCATTGAACTCATGCCATGCCTACATCCTTGTCATCCGATCCCTCTCACATCCTTGCCCCCTCTCGTTTTCTCCTGCTATGGCTACCTAGAAAACTAAAGGACAACTGGATGGAGGATATGGGAGGGGCCGTTTGACGATGGTGTAGCGTGGTGGTTGAGCTCAATGCTATCGACGAGTTCCGAGACGTGGAGCAGGAGACAAGATGTTTGATGCAGAATAGTGCTTGAACTTGAACTTATAAAGTATTAACTTTACGGGTATATATTATTAAGAATATAACATTTAGTATATATTATTCGCAAGAAAATATAGAAGGAAGCAGTAAAATACATTGTCATCAGAATTAACGTTTTCTGGAGATACGATTTCCTCTCCAGTCGCAAATGTTGGAATTATTTTCTTTTTCTAAAAAATGACGATTCCCTCTCCAAGACGGCATACGGTGGAACGGGTAGAACCCGCGTCAAGTCAAGATCAAGAGTCAGTCTCCGCTCTCCGGCATGGCGGCTGCATTGGTCAGAGTTCATGTCAAGATAGTAACAGGCGCGTCTAGTAGCTTGTGCTGATAAATTCAAAATAACGGCTATACTCTTCCATCCATTTTTTGGTTTAATTAACTAATTTTATCTAAAATTCTAAACGCTTTTATGTCTCTATAAATAAAATGCACTATAAAAATATTCAATGACTAATCTAATAATATTTATTTAGCATTTAGTATTTTTTATATTTTTAAATTTATTTTTTAGATAGAGAAAGATCCGGGTAAGAGAAGGGTGTGGTAGACGTCAGTAGGGGTCTGTTTGGTTACTGCCCTCGCAAGCAGCTTGTCGGGAACCAATAGCAGGGTACTAAAAGAGAAGGAGCTAATGGTCATCTACATTGATTCACCTAAGCAGTCAAGTACGTGACTACATGTCCAAACCATCTCAACCGGTGTTGGACAAGCTTTTCTTCAGTTGGTGCTACCCCTAATCTATCACGTATATCATCGTTCCGAACTCGATCCTTTCTTGTATTACCGTAAATCCAACGCAACATACGTATTTCCGCGACACTTATCTGTTGAACATGTCGTCTTTTCATAGGCCAACATTCTGCACTATATAACATAGCAGGTCTAATCGTCGTCCAATAAAATTTGCCTTTTAGCTTCTGTGGTATCCTTTTGTCACATAGGACACCAGATGCTTGGCAACACTTCATTCACCATGCTTTGATTCTATGGCTAACATCTTCATCAATATCCCCGTCTCTCTATAGCATTGATCCTAAATATCGAAAGATATCCTTCCATCACTTCATCCACCTTGCTTTTATTCTATGGCTAACATCTTCATCAATATTTCCGTCTCTCTGTAGCATTGATCCTAAATATCGAAAGGTATCCTTCCTAGGCACTATTTGACCTTCCAAACTAATATCTTTCTCCTCCTGAGTA